ATTTTATTCAGGTACCGTACAGGAAATAATGGCCTTAGTCTGAATATGCTACCAAAAAAACTGTTTTTTCACTCAGGATTTTGTGAGCAATTTAAAGTTTGTAGAAAATGTGAAAGCAGAAACACCTGCTACAAGGAAGACAAGAAATACTCTAAGGTTTCAGCAACCTCTGCCCTTGTAACACATTCTCACCATTTTGAGATGCTCCCTTGCATACCCTATCAAGTCACAGTCTCTGTTCAGGCATTTGTGATAATGTGCAATGCCAGGGACTAAACTGAAACAGAAAAACATAGGTGCATGCTGGTAGGTAAGAAGGGAACACAAAAAGCACAGGGACGTGTTCAGCAAGGCTCGAAGTTTACCTTTGGTGAGCTGAGAACATTACCCTTCAGAAGATAGCTCTTCTTTGATATTTGGATTACTGGCTACATTTAACAAGCTGGAACTTTTGCTGGAACTTGCTAAAACAGGCTGCCCAGAGAGGTTGTGGAGGTGTCCAAGGCCAGGTTGGAAGGGGCCCTGGGCAGCCTGGTCTGGTATTAAATGGGGAGGTTGGCAGCCCTGCATGTGGCAGGCGGATTGGAGATTCATGATCCTTGAGGTCCCTTCCAACCCTGACCATTCTGTGATTCTGAAACTTTTGTGCCAAATTCACTTTCCTCATCACTCCCCACAAAGGAAGCCAGGGAACAGCAAGTCTATGGCAGTACTCCAAACTGTGCATTTTACTCCAAATCCTGAGGGCAGCTGCATGACTCCATAAAAGACCTCCAGCCCTAGAAGTCCTGGTGCAGCGCACGCAACGTATCTGTTTTTACGGAAATATTTTCAGCCTACTGCATAAGAGGGTTAAACATGATTCTACATAACTGAACATGGTTACAGATGCTATTAACAGCACTCACAGCATCATAAAAATGCTCGATGTGGACTGTCACCCAAGAAGCATCCTAGGATGGTTGAATATAATCACATTCCAATCATAAGCTGAGAGCAATCGATGAAAATTTACAATTCTGCCTTGCTGTCAGTATGGTTAAACATGTAGTTATTCAGATATTCACTTCGGTGTCTCGATGATCCTTTTAAGCCTCTGTTCTATGGCAGCAGCATACACTTGCCAGAGGCATTCTGAGCAGGCCATTTGATAGGAATATTCCTTGCACGAGAGATTCAACTAACCGGGCACATCTGGCATGGAAAGATTTGCATTAAGATTCTTTTATACCAAGCACTTCACTCATTAGCAAGAAAATAAGCCATCTGTGATTATTAAAATCTTGTAGATTGGAAGTCTAGCACCTCCTCAAAATCTTGATCAGTTAAGCACATGTTGGAGCACACCCAGCCTTCTGCACAGGGACAAATCAGCTCATAGGTAAGAGGCTATAGCAATTCTCAGAGCCAGTGCAAGCAGGAAATGGAGGCAAGCTCTCTGATCCATCACCTACATGAAAATTACACACAGTACACGGGAAGTAAGCTTCTAAAAATAAATTGAGTACCGTGCACACACAGTATCCCTGCTTGTGTAAAATTAGGTACAGTGTGCTGGTTCCTTGGCTTCAGTCAGAAAAGGGGAAACAGAAGGGCATCCAATTTAAACAAAAAAGTGAATGTGATATCTCAAATACCTATTAAGCAAAATGACAGCTTTTTCTGTACATAGAAATACATATGTTACATACATGGCTGAATGTTAATATTGCTGCCACAGCTACGAGCCATTTGTTTTAGGTCATGTTCCATGCTTACTTCTTTAAAAATAATAATTTTTTTTTTTTTTTTTTTTTTTTTTCCAATGAAGTAAAAAGAACACCAATGCCACAGTAGGAACTGTATCCCTCCTACCAGCCTCATGACAGCTTTGAGTCATCTGACTGCTAAGCCAGCAAGGACAATAAAATCTGCCACTGGGTGCAGTGACGAGACAAGCACTGGAAGCACAGCAGGAGAGCAAGCAGAAATGGGGAGAGCAGAAAAGTGCCCATGGAGAGCAAGAGGGGAGACAGGAGGGCACTGCACAGCCAGCTGAAAAATCCGGCAGTAGCCAAACAGCACAGAAAAGTAGAGAGAAGTGCTTCCTGGGTTTCAGTAAATTGCTTTCAGTCAGAGTAGCCACATAATCAGCTCCTTGAATTCAGAACCCTTCAACTAGTTAGGTGCCTTAATGTGATGCCTGTCCTAGCACTGCAGGAAAAAAAAAAAAAAAAGAAAAAAAAAGCTGTACTGAATGCTGTCTTTCTTGGGGTCAGTCATACTACTTTTGTATATAAAGGAAAGAACATTCCAAAGGTAGGTATAGTCACTGCTTAACAGTTGTCTATTTTCCTTTTTTCTTTTTTTTTTTTTTTTTCAAAGGATACCATTAAGTGATGGGATAAGATGCAGTGAAACATATCAAAAGTCAACAATAACACAGAAACAACACCAAATCTTCAAACTGTTGAATTTAACAATGCTAAAGAAAGTGGTTTTTTTCCCCCAAATATCTCATACCATACCTTTCAATAGTAATTCTTTTCTTATTTTTATTTTTTTGCATTTTATCTCCCTAGTCCTTTAGTAGGAACCACGCTTAACTTTCTAGAATCTTAAATATTATGAAAAAATATTACGAAAACAGAGCGAGCATTTTACCAAATAGATGGTTCACTTCATATAAATGAAGAAGACAAGTTCATTCACAAACTTGAAACAGGAAGTACGTTTCTGCCCATGCTTACTAATACGTGAAACAGCCAAACAGTCACAGAACAGCTTGGGTTGGAAGGGGCCTTAAAGGTCATCTAGTTCCAATCCCCAGTTTTGGGCAGTGCCCACCAGCTCAGGCTGCTCAGAGCTCCATCCAACCTGGCCTTAAACACCTCCAGCCCTAAATTTTAGTTCCAACCACAGAAACTGATGTTGTCAAAACAGACAAAAGCAAAGATGGAGCTCAGGAATATCATCAGGAATGGCTTGGCTTACAGACTTCCTCATACCAAACACCCCGTGCTTGGAGAAGGCACTAAGCAGCTGACCAACCCAGGCTCTCGATTTCACATCTTAAAAAACACTCCCCTCTAACTCAAACAATTTTACAATTCTGTGGTTGGTGGCCAAGTCACTACAGATTAACCTGAAACTCTGCTCTTCAGTTAAGATGGTGTCTCATACAACTACATTTACAGGAAACATAATAAATACAGGCAACTGAAAAAAAAGGTCACGACAGCTTGCAGCTCCTAGTGAGTCGTGGTGCTGATCATCATTCTGAGAGAAAAATCCTAAATTCCTGCCACTGTTTATCAAGGAAGCTGCTTCAGTTATAATCGTATGCAATCTAAAAATCCACTTGGACTGACCTAGCTCCGAGAGGAATACAGCCTGCTGCCATACCTAAATCGGGCTGCTTTTATTAGATGAGTCTGTCAGCGTTACAAAACGTGCGTTAACTTGGAATTGGCAAAATCAGCCCTGAAAAATCGCATATCAATACAAAGTCGGCTGCTACAAGAGACAGACTTCCCAGCCTTCAGCCCATATCGCCAAGACGACAAACGCAGTCGTTAATGACGATGCGTCAGGTGGGTTCTGGCGGCATTCCGGACACGCACCTCAGCACGCTCTGCTAACAGCGGAAGCTGACCGCAGGGCAGGGGCAGCCCTGGCTCGGCACATCCCAGCTGACACCGCCAAGCGCCCGGCCCCGTTCCCTAGCGCTTCCCACCGACCTCAGCCCCCGTGACCCCATTCCCCCCCTCCGCAAACCGCCCAGCCCGGGACCGCGGACCCACCGTCCCGATGCAGTCGGTGAGGCTGGGCGGGGGCGCCTTGGGCTTCGCCTTGCCGAAGAAGCGGTTCATGGCGGCGGTCGGCCTGCGGCTCGGCGACGGCAGCAACAACGATCGCGCCGGCCCGGAAGCACAGCGCCCACTTCGCGCCTGCGCTCTGCTAAAGGCGGAAGTACTTGCACTGAGGAGCGCTACCACTTCCGGTCACACGGGGAGGGCGGCGAACCCCCATTGGCTGTGCGGAGGGTGGGCGGTGCTAAGCAGAGCCCATTTAAAGGGGCACCGCGGTACAGCGCAACTTGAGCCGTCTCTCTGGCAGGATTGGTGCTGTTGGCTGGATTGAAGCTGTAGGTGACGTCCCACCTGCACTTGTTCTGAATCTTATTCAGGGCTTGGCGTGAAGGGCTGGATATTGTTCTTCAACACAAAACATCTGGAAGGATGCAGGATAGATTTAAGACTGTAATGAAAAATAAGTGCTTTCTTCGTAAGAAGTGGATGCACATATAATTTAGCATATGCTGTATTTCATCAGTGGTTTCATCAAAATCAAATAACTATTGGTCAATCAACCAAATAAAATATTTCAAAAGCAACTTTAAAAGATGTTTCTCAGCACTGAATTTGAAAAGGAAGGAATTGTGAGCTTTTTGGGAGAACTGGAATACTTATGAGATTATTTATATGTTCTAAGGCTTACTTTTTAACACACCAGGATTCCAGTTAACAGAAATACCCAGTAGGCAGGCTCCAATAGTTTTAAGTATTCAAATTCAAAGATACATCTACATCCATGCATCCGTACAGTATACTAAGATGTTCCCTCCCACACCACATGCTGTGTAACTGTAAATATATCATGTCAGCCTTGCATCAGCTTTTCCCTTTTTTCCCCTCCCTGGAAGCACTGAAGGCCAGGCTGGATGGGGCTGTGAGCAACCTGGTCGAGAGGGAGGTGTCCCTGCCTATAGCAGGGAGGTTGGAACTAGGTGTCTTAAAGGTCCCTTCCAACCCAAACCATTCAGTGATTCTAATTTCTTCAAATTGCTGTGCCCTCCTAGAAAAACACCATTTAAGTTCCAACATTATTGAAATGTTATTTTCTAATATTTAAAAAAAAAAAAAAAAGCAGCAGAATCTTCCTCATAAGATCAGTTGATTTTAACACATCAGATACCGCTTATGCCATATATATGCCAAATAATACCATGAAAACACAAGTGAAGCAGTAGTATATTACACTTGTTTTGTTTTATTCTATTTTAAGTTAAGAACACTTTGTTTTTTGTTTGTTTTGCAGGTGTTTCGTTTTAAGACATTACTGAGGACCTAACATATCTTTAGGCTTCACCCACTGGTCAAACTGGTCTGATGTGAGGAGTCCCAACTTGATAGCAGCTTCTTTTAACGTTGTCCCTTCTTTGTGTGCAGTCTTGGCAATCTTAGCTGCTTTATCATATCCTGTAGCAAACAAAAAGAAACCACTGAGCCATGTTCACTTTCAGAAGATTTTTTCAGAGATGAGAAAAAAGTAAGACACTCGGTTTTCTGAGAATTAATTTTGCTAGATACTTCTATTACTACTTAACTCAATTTGCAGTAAATATGCACTGAATGTATTATACAAACTCCTTACTTAAAGTAGTCTTGATGTAGGTTTTAGACTACGTAAGAGTTTTATGCAACTTTCTCCCATTTTCATGTTTCGCTTTTTGTTATTATCAGAAATCAAATCAGGATGACGTACACAAATTCTCACAATCTCTTTTCTGTTCTGAATTATTTCTTTAACACACCGTTATGGTACTGCAAAAGCAAGGTGTATCTTTATCACCAACAACAGCAATTGATGATGCTAAAGGAAACTAACTTTTGGCCTGGCCCAGAACTTGGTTTCCTAACACTGTGACAATACAAACAATGCATGCAAAATAATGTTTCTGAAAAGTGTTTAAGTGCAATGGTTTTGAGAAGTTTCTGAGCTTTAAACCTACCTATATGTGGATTAAGTGCTGTTACCAACATCAGGGATTCACTCATTAGTTTGTTGATCCTATCTGTATTGGCTTGGATTCCAACAACACAGTTGTCAGTGAAAGAAACACAAACATCTCCAAGAAGTCTTGCAGAGTTTAAAACATTCTTAATCTAAAAAAAAAAAAAAAAAAAAAAAAAAAAAAAAAATAATAAAAAATACCCAACGATTATTGTATTCAGATATTAGCAGCTGCACAATTGGGCACAGCTGTTCCTAAGTGGCATCTCTCTATCCCCCAAAATGTACCTCTCTGATTGGCAGTAAAGCAGTACATAAAATAACACACCCTATTCCTGCTGCAGGCTATGCTGAGTTACTCCCACTTGAAGTAATTTTCTGAGAATCATTTAAGAGATGAACTCTTGCCTACAGACCACTGTATGTAAGGATGTCTTGATACAACAGTTCACAAGTATTGAGTAAGAAATGAATGAAGGTATTTCATTCAAGGTCATTCTTCCACCACTAGGTACCAATACTACAACATTTAACACTATAAAGTACAGCACTGTCTGGCATTAGCCCCCTGCTTTGATAATCCATAACATCCCACATCTTTTTTTCCCCTTCTCCTTTTTTTTAATTTGTCTATGAGAATTTATATTCTGCTAGTTACATCTCTTAGCTGTTCAATACGATTTTTGGAGGGTGTGGGGCAGGATGTGGTAGCTTCAAAACCAGGTGCTGTACGCTTAGAAGTTCATTCAGATGGGAGAAAGAAAAAAATATTTTAATAATTCCTAACGTAAACTAAAAAAGCGACATCAGCAAGTGTATGCAGTGTAGCAAAATAACATACAGCATTCTGCTTCCCTTGTGCCTCTTATCTCTAACAAAAAGACAAAAACTCTACAGCTTTCCTTTTATTTCTATATAATATTAGTGTCTTTTTCACAAACCACTTTAGTTGTTTTTTAAATTATCATCCCTACCCTAACCTCTGCAATATTACTTTATCTTATACACTATTCTTCACTGTTGTGAAGATTGTCTCCACAATCTTCTCTCCTTTTTTTTTTTGTTCTCTCAATTCTCCTGTTTGTTTGTTTGTTTGTTTCTTGGGTTTAATTGGGAAAAAAAAAAAAAAAAAGTAAATAACCCAAGGAAGAAAATAAAATGATGACTTCATTTGAAAACATCCAAATTTCAGTACCAGGTGATATGCAACATTCAATTTTTTAATTAAATTGAGGAAAAGCAGTATGTGCACACATGTTTAAGATAAAAGCTTATCAGCATAAGATATCTTCATGTAACAAGACTGCTACCATCCTGTCAGAATAACAATTACCATACAAAAGAATAATGTTTTTTCTCACATTTTATCAGATTCTCCAGTCCCCGTATTGACCAAATATTCATTGAGCTTTTCTCTACTTATCTGACTGTACAAATGACAACATCAGAAGTCCTAAATACTTTACAACTTCTAGAACTTACCATCATGGGCTTAAAAACATTCAGCTCAAAGTGCCCATTGCTACCTCCTACAGTAACAGCAACGTGGTTTCCCATAACCTGGGCTGCCACCATGGTAACCGCTTCACACTGCGTAGGATTCACTTTTCCTGGTTGTGAAAGGGAGAGAAAAACATTAATGACGACTAAGGAAATCCATCAATCATTTGTTTTCTCATTTACCAAATCACATTCAAGAGAAGATACTTTGTAGGAGGTAACGTTGTACTCCTTTTTATCTGTTCGCCACGAAAGAAATTATTTCTGTAAACTATATTAAATTAACTGTACTGCTCTAGTCTTATTTATTCCCCATTCTCTGCAAAACACAAAACCTTCAATTATATTGTCTTCTCTTGAAAGAAAAATCTGCAGAATGCAAAGATTTAAAGAAGGCCACCCACAGATGGCTGCTTTAGCAATTTGCTGAGTTTTCCAGAGTAGGCTCAAACAGGCATGAACTAAGCAGCTGTTAATTACTACAGTCCTTAATAATCAAGAGATTGTTACCTGTCTTTACTCAAGCAGGTTGGTGTGTCTGGTAAATCATTGCCAAGTCTCAGTTAACTTCAGAAAAGTATTACTAGCTTGTTAAAATTATTTTCTAACAAAATCAATACACTGCCTTTACTTGGCCAAGAAGAATAAGTACATACAGGTATTATTCTCCTTCATGTGCTTGCCAGCACACAGCTGTGCAAGCATTTTTATGAACACGAATTTTGGTAAAATATAACAGAAGATAAACTGACAGAAGTATCAATTCACCGACTTACTGACATCAAAGAGTTAGTAGTCCAAAACAAAAGAAACAGGAATTTTTTCTCCGCATGTTTTCTCCATACCTGGCATGATACTGCTTCCTGGTTCATTTTCAGGCAGGATGAGTTCTCCTAATCCAGAGCGTGGTCCAGATCCCAGGAAACGAATATCATTAGCTATTTTCATCAGACTGCATGCCACTGTGTTCATAGCTCCGCTGAGTTCAACTAGAGCATCGTGAGCTGCAAGAGCTTCAAATTTATTGGGAGCAGTGACAAAGGGCAAGCCTACAGGGACAGTGAGGAATATAAAGCCTATTAGGCACTTACATGAAGACATAAACCAGAAAACCAACCACACAACATAAAACTATGTTAGTAACACCAAGCTCATCTCTCTTTCTACCTTTCCTCAAAAATGTGTTTCTTAAACGGATTCAATTCAATACAAAAGGCACAATAAAAGTCACTAAAATAGACAAGAATGTGAAACTTAAGCATCAACTCGAATTTTAGAAGCAAAGATATGGATTTCAAGTTTCCATGCTGTATTGCATACTAAGCAATGCAGCCATTTGCTTTGCACCTCAATACTTAAAACATTTCAATAATCTCTTGCGGGTTGGCCCAAATGTATCCATCTTAATTCCTGTTTACACTCTCCATTTCAAGGATGCTTTCTCTCAGTTATAGAAATAGGGGTTTTTGCAGCACAGCCATTAGGGCAAATAAGAAGTAATCACAATTGGATTAGCTACTTAAAGAAAAAAGATGCATCAAGCATTAGCACTGGAAGGGAACAACAGCCAGATGGAACATGCAAAAGCTCATTAAGGCTTAGGATGCCTGAAACTTCTGGCAACAGCAAAAGCACAGGAGCAATGGGAAGCAACAGCTCTTCTTATGTTAATTAAATCTACAGTCTGAATGTAGGTTCTATAATTAAAAACATTTCTTCAGGACTCTGCCCTGCAAGTAAATTCTCAGCAAAATTTTATTGGTGGTGGTGGACATCAAATATGGATGCTGAACTTGTGCCCCACAGAATTACTGGCCTGAGCTTATTTTATCAGTACAAACAAGAAGAGTAGCAAAATCTCAGTTCCTAGAGGAAGTGCAAATTCCTACCATGTTCTGCAGACCCTGCCAGACACAGTCTCCCATTCTATCTGTATGCACTTCTGCATTTCACAGATGCCAAGATCATTCCAAACTTTTCATTTTGTCTTTGCCAACAAATTTCCCATGAGAGAACGTAAGGAATTTAAATAGTCTGCTCTACTTGTTTTAAACTTGTACAACCCTCACATATGGTATACCTAATGAGCGTAAGATGGACAACCCTGCCCACAGCAGGGGGTTTGGAACTAGATGATCTCTGAGGTCACTTCCAACCCAAGCCATTCTGTGATTCCACATGATTCTATGGGACAGCTTCCTACAACACTGATGGCTTCTCCAAGCACCAAAACAAGCCCTTTACTGTTTCTCAGCAGCTGTTGTTTATATCACTTCTTCCTTGCCAAGGTACAAGAAAATCTCAATCTTCTACTAGATTGTGAATAATAGATCTGTTAATACAAAAATATTGCTGATAAGCAGTTACAGTGTATTTAAGTGAAATACATATGTATTCATTGTGGGGCCTTTTTTAAAACTGACATAGAAAAACTGGTCCACAGATCAGAAAACTCAATGGCTCTTTAAGTTAAGATTTAAGATCTATAAAGACAGCATTAGAAACCAAACAGCTAACCTCCACTCCTTCACATGAAATAAATTGGTGGTTCTGGAAAAGTTTGGGTTTTTTTTTTGTTTCATCCCCTCTTCTTTTGTGGCAAGTAATTGAAGATCAAGAGAGTCAGAGAAACAGAGATCAGAACGGAAGTACGGCTAGGCTACTAATAGAAGTCTGAAACACTAAATCTCCAGTAAGCCAAATTCATTGCACCACTCTCACTGCGCTGAGTACTGTTAGAAAAAATACTCTGCATGAAATAATTTTAAGTATAAGGCTTACAAAACATATACTGCTTTATAGATAACTCTGAAATATCATTTCTCACCCGTCAGTTCAGCCACTTTAGCAGCAACTTTCTCAGCAAAGCCAATTCTTGTGTTTAATCCTGTACCAACTGCAGTCCCACCAGCTGCCAGCTGATACACTCTTGGCATGGTTGACTCAATCCTAGCCACGCCGTATTTAATTTGTTGCACATAGCCACTAAATTCCTTTGAAAGAATGAAGCATAGAAGAAAAACACAGCAATAAGAAAATAGAATTCTTTGGATTTTTAACAGTACTCATTTACTGAAGGCATTGAACTTCACCAAGATGCTAAAAGGTGTTTTCATTAAGAGGGAAAATTCCCATATATTAGAAGACTGCTCACACAGCAGGGACAACCTACACATAAAAGCAACCTACGTATATAAAAATGTATATTACAATGCATCTTTCTCTTGCCTTGTATCTTATTCATGTACTTTGTAAAATCTGAATCCAAGGTAGGTCATACCTCAGATTGCACTAACAAAGACTCAAGGTGCAATTAGACAAACAGATCCTGGACTTCGTTCATGTAATTTTAGTTAATCAGAAATCCACCTGTGCCTTCTTGGGAAAAAGATACACAAATTTTACAGAGATTTTTTATCAGTTCAGTTAGAATTAATACCTTACCAAGTAAGGTAACCTAAGCAATTCCTGACAATACAATAACAACGATTTCTCATACACATATAATCATGAACAGACTTTTATTCAAAATATTTTGTAGTTCTGTACGTTGTCTAAACCTCATTCATATAAACTTACAAATTACAGGCCCAATTTACCATGTTGCCAGTGTAATAGCAATAAGTTTTGTTACTTGGCAATCAAACATCACTTTGAAATCATTTATATTTTACTACCATAAGCAACATATATGGAAAATTTTAAGAACGCTTCCAAAGCAGTCATTAGAGAACAGCGTTCAGCAAAACTCCAAAAAAAGATGAAAATAATCAGAGATTCAGCCAATTGCCTAATTTATCTTAAACTGATTTTAGTCTCCTCAAATTTGCCCATTTCCTCCAATATATTTACAACTTTTCCCCAAACAAACGTGCATTTTCACAGTTTACCTGCCCAAGCGTAAGTGGAACAGCATCTTGTGTGTGAGTGCGTCCTATTTTTATGATTTGGGAAAACTCTTTGGATTTTGCTTCGAGTGCATTCTGTAGCTTCTTCAGTCCAGGCAACAACACCTCATTAACTTCCTGGGCAGCAGCGATATGCATTGCTGTTGGGAAAGTGTCATTTGAACTCTGTGAAGGAAGTTTCAGAAACTTATTTACAGGGTTTTCTCACCATAATACCTCACAATATTAAGACTGACACGTATGGCTTTATTCTCTTTACTTTATAAAGAAGGAATTGAGAATACAGTAAGGAACCTAGCAGTGTTCCACAAGCCACTCTGAAGGAATCATTAAACCTAAACTCCCATCAAGCATGTTATTAACAAAATCTATGCCTTATGCCCACAGAAACTAAATATACCAAAGGACAACAGAACTGCTACAAAATACAAAATATAGATAACAAATGGATTTGGGAATTTAAAGAAATTATAGCTGACTTCAAAAGGTCAAAAATATTGATTTTGTAATGATAATTCCATAGTCCCATAGGATTTCGAGCAAGCACAAAAGATCAGAGCTACAATCAACTCGGTGGCTCAAACTTCAGCTAATCTGAAGAAAATTCTAAGAGTGAAATACAATAAACATGTCTACTTAAGAGTGGGTAAACAAATACTAAATGGCTCTTTTGCTTGCCAATTACAGGACCTTAGCCACCTTATTATTTCTTCTACATGCTTTATGTAGTGTATTTGGGAGATAACATCTACATGGATGCAGCCTCTAGAAACTGGATTTAAATTGAAATTTTTTATGACTGCTTGCAGAAGCGTTCATCACCAGGCCAATTCTGCCTGATACATCACTTGTGAATTCATCTGTCATAAACGAGGTGTTTTCAATCTGAAAAGCTCCTACTGACACAGACCAAATTTTCAAGTTCCTTTAATCTGAAAAACCTGAAATTTGGAAAATTGTTGCTAAAACCATAAATGCATTTATATATATGTATATAATAATAATATACATATTATATATATATATATATTATAATATATAATAATTTATATATATATATATTTTTCCTATATCCCATATTTTATTTAAACAGATACAAAAATAATCTAAACAGTGGCTGTAAGACAATTCAGAATTAAAAAAAATTAAAAGAAGTATAATACAAGTATAATAACCTGGCTTTTATTAACATGATCATTTGGATGCACTGGAATTTTGCTTCCCAGTTTGCCTCCCAGTATTTCAATAGCTCTATTGCTGATGACTTCATTGACATTCATATTGGTTTGAGTTCCAGACCCAGTCTGCCACACCACCAATGGAAAGTGATCATTTAATTTTCCTGCAGCTACCTGTAATGGAAAAACAGAGAAGATCTGTTCTACCAGAAAAAAAAAAAGCAGCAGCTATACTTAAATATATTGTAAGATTCATATGTATTGACTTGCATGGAAAGAAGATCCTGATCAGCTACAGATGTCTATACCAACTTATACCTTCTGTAGGTAGGTTGTGACACTTGCCATCTCAAGTCAAGGCAAAGCAACAAATATGAATATTCTCCTCTTCAATATATACTTTTTGAACCCTGATGAACCTCATCCACATACAGAGATTTTTCTAGGGATGTAATAATTTCAAGATCTGTGCTCACAAGTATCTCTCCCATGCATATCAACCTCAGAAAAGCATAGAATGCAAAACAAGAGATCTGTTGTCACAACACTGAGGTTAGATCTCCATCTCCAAACGTTCAACTTACAGCACAGTCCTCCTGGAATCATGCTTTTCAAGAAAAGGCCTTATGAGATATTTCCTACTTTATACAAGGGCAGAGCTTCCACTTTGAAAAGCAACTCTTTGTTCTATCTTTTTTCTTTCAGGTTACTGAGGAGGCATTTTTAAAAATGCAATAAAAAAAACTCAAACAGCTTTCAGAACTCACAAATCTAAGCCAAGGAGCCTTTAGCCACCAAAACCTCTAATCCACCTTTCACTAGAAAAGACTGGCTATACTCTCAAGTTCCCCAAAGTTCTTGGGGCTTGAGACTCATGGTACTACAGATGATAGAGAGCAGACATGGCTTCTGCATACTTCCAAGATTTTAAGGAACAAGAAAGCTCTGTAAAACAATTATTCCATCTAAATATCTGTTGGTCTATGCAAAGGAGTACGAATAGTATAACCATGCCTTAGTTATTGCTCATTCACAACTGTGCATTAGGGTGGTATTTATCCTGAGAAAGTGAAGATATTTCTGTCTCACATCTTCCTCTTTAGCTATAAAAGTGACACTTGAAAAAGCACGGATTGACTAGCAATCCTAAATCTGAACAGGAAACAAATGAGTAACAGAAAAACTATTCAGACTGCAGATGGTCTTCAAAATACAGGGATACAATTGCTTAACAGACTAGAGACTTTGAAAAAGTGGAAGCTTTGCCTGAAAGGCAGACTCTAACAATTCAAGAAAGAAATGCAAGACATCTTCATCAAGCCCTCAGTGTTCCCAAGAGAAGCTAACCAAATATACAGTGACAGTTCTAGTATTTTCAGCAGTTTGCTCCTACCTCATCTGCTGCCTTTACAATAGCACTGGCAATCTTTGGGTCAAGACCATAATCTTGATTTACTTCAGCTGCTGCCCTCTTCAAGATGCCAAAGGCCCTTATAACTTGAACCTGAGACACAAGAATAAATTTAAACATGTAATCTTTTTTCATGAAGAACAGTTAGGAATCCACAGCACAGATCTATTTCTAACTCAAATCCCTTCTAATCTTAATCACAGCAACAGCCAACCAAGCAACCAGAGAGCAATTTAGAGCACGTGATGTGTCATCTCATTCCAGGTAACATTTATCCAAGCAGTACAGAAAGCAATTCATAATTCACCCTTTCTTTCTATGTGTATCAAAACCAACTACATGTATTAAAATGAACAGAAAAGAAGAACTGGTTTTGTTTCTAAAATAGAATTTTGAAGGCAGATTGGCTTATGTTTCAGTACATTCAAAAACAGAGAATGATGATGTCCATGTACTCTCATGCTTTAATTACATCTACAAGTAAGAAAGCAGTTTATCAACATATGACACTTAAATACCTTCAATACACTTAGATACTCCCGACATTTAAATATCTTCAACAACAAACTACACTGCATTACAGTAAAAGTAATTCAAATTATTCCATCCATTGCCTTTGCTCTTCAATAAAATGAAAGATTTCTATTCATCCTGTTGGTTTGGGTTTTTTTGTTTGTTTGTTTGTTTTAATAAAACAACACAATAAAAAGCAACACCTCACCATGAAAATTCTAACTTCAATGAAAATTCAAAGGTGACCGTACTTCCAGAAAGAGATTAAGAAAAGGTATTCACTCACATCCAAAAACATACTGAAAGGTGTAAGTGGGCACAGGCTTGAATTACTTACTGGCATCCTTTCTGAAACACCTCCGATCTTGAAGTTCATCGTAGATCTTACAGTCTGAGCACCATAGTATTTGTCACTTGGGACCTTCAGTTCACCAAAGGTATCATATTCTATCCTAAAAGACTCTTGAGTGGACTGTAGGAAAGGGAAATAAAAAGTATGTTTCAAACACTGGCAAACAGCATCTTTTTCTTGAAAGGAGAAACAACTGAGAAAAAATGTGCAAGAAGGGGAAAAAAGGGTAACAAAGATACACAACTAGGTGTTAAGTATTTTTCTAATTATATTTACAAACTTTTGACACGTTTCTAGTCTGATTACCTGTCGCTACAAGAGTCACAATTACAAATATTACAGCCTAGCAAACCCAGTGGTGACAGGCAGCACTGAGAGACTTCAGACTTTGGCTGCTCACTGCATAAAACTCATCATCCTGGTGAAGACTCATGTTGTTTTGAAGAATCAGAAACTCATTTTACAATTTGCAGAATGGCTGTTAGAGCCAAACATAAGAACTAACATGGTTCACACAACATCCATCCAGGCAACGTAACAGAAACCCTATCAGAAATCCACACTGCACATGGGAATTAAAATACTTGAAAGGAGCAGCTGAGTAATTGATTACTAGCTGCTGATTGTGAATTCTCACCTTATGCCTAAGAACACTATATACACGTTATTATCTAACAGAGAAGTAAATTAAGTTTAGGTGATGTACACCAACTGAAAAGTAAAGCCTTTTTTTAAAAAAAAAAAAAAACAAAAAAAAACACAGTAGCAACAAAAAAATCCAACATGTTCATTTATGACATGATCACATTTGTATGTTGCTTCACAGATTATGGGATTGGAGAGGAAGCATGTAAATGCAGTTTAGTCTTTCTCTTCCTACACTTTTGTCAGCAAAGCCTCAATCTGCTATGAGAAAGATGCTCATCCTTCCACACAGGAGAAGGTTACCTTCTTATGGAGTCCTCAGAGAGGGGAAAAAGACTATTTGAATTCTTAATCATAGAATCATGGAATAAAACAATCCCAGCTTCATAGTAATACACACACAGTGATGAGCTCTGGCCTAACAATGACCATCAACTGTAAATCAAATTTTAGGAACTATTAGGAAAACGTTATCATGGTTCATGTACATTTAGAATGCTAGTTGCAGATTTGGTTTTCTCATCTCAAAAAAGCATATTATTTGAAACAGTTCAAAGAAAGGCAGTAAGGCTGATCAAAGTGGGGTACAGCTTTTATGCAAGCCTGATTGTGTAGTTCAGAAAGAGACAACCTGGGGACCAAAGGAAAAACTAGAGCAGTAAAATTGCTAGAATGACAGCAAATACTAGCTGCTCACTGTCTCTTCCAGTACAATATGAGCAACAATATTAGGGTAGCAGGGGGGAGGTTCAAGGTAACAGAAAGAAGCATTACTTCACACATGACACAGACGGACAAAACTGCTTGCCAACTGATGTTGTGGATGCAAGAAGCTTGCAAGTGTTCAAGACAGACAAGATACACACTCAGAAAAAAACATCTGAACTGGGTTATCACACAGAGAAACCACAGACTCGGGAAAAGTCCTTGATTTGAAAATGAGAAGTCCGTGTAAGTGAAAGAAGAAAGCACTTTATATGTTTGCACATTTCTTACTCTTCCCTAGGTGTCCACTGCTGAAGCCATACTGTTTCTCCCCTTGGTCAGCTTTACTTTCTCCTCATTCTGTGGGTCTTGGACTTCTTGGAGAGGAGCGCAGCTGAGTTTGTGCAGAACAGCACAAACTCTCCAGCAGTCTGTCCATGTCTACACCATCACAGGTAGCAAGCGGTGGGTGGGAGTATTCCATATTTTACTGTCCTGGGCAGTGTTTCCAGCCAGATGGAGAAGCTCTGCCATTAGGTACACCAGCAACCATGTAACAGAGCCACCAGCCCCAGGGCTCAGGGCTCTCTTGCAGTGCAGATGTTGCATATGACTCAAAAGAAACTGCAGCCCAGCCCACAAACACCAAGGGTTAACTCGTGTACTGCTGTCCTGCTCCCCTCAACTTGCTTTTGACCTTCCCACAGACCCTGACCCCACAGAAAGACTACACAGAGCACAGATCAATATGCCTTTTTGACAATTCTTAACCCTCTCTATTCTGTTTTAATCACTTAATGTTCATATACATGCTAAAGAAAAACACATCACAGATATCCACTGGTCTACTGGTCTCTAAAACCCCTGCTTTTGGTAACTGGACACTTCAGGTAAGCAGACAACATAAGGCTTTCTATAGAGATATGTTCTGTTTCTGCCAAATTCCAAGCACCCATAGTCCAAAGTTAACAGTTAGGCAAACATAACTGTCCTCTTGCCTTGTTGCAGGGTACTGATCAGCTAGGACTGATTGCACCATCACACACTGGAAGAATTCAAACAGAACTGCTGCTGTAATGCTTCCTGTAGAAAATTATATTCTCATTGGAGATGTAACAACTTTTGGATGTAAGTATTTCAGTTCAAAGAATAGTTTGTTTGTTTGTTTGTTTGTTTTTGTTTGTTTGTTTGTTTTTTTTTATACCATGTCAGAAACAGTCCTTAAAAACTGGCAGAAAATGGAATTTGTGCTTATCTACTCTCCTTTATATTATCAACTGAGTCCCAAATTCTGATATTTACTCTTTAGGAACAGCTTGTGCAATTTAGCTTTAAGTTGAATGGCTATTGCATTGCCTCAATAGGGCCACAGGCACACTACATTCTATGCGACATAAATTGTTCCAAAATATTAATCTTGCTGCCAAGAAATTCTCTACAAACTTCAAAAAGCGTGAGCTTTGGTTCATTATTTCCCTCCACCCTCATTTAAATATTGGTTGGTACATTTTTGGTAGTGCTCTTGGAAATAAAAACATACAAAATTTTCCCATAGTTTGAACTCTTAATCCTCGGAGGAACATTTTGCTCTAACTTCTAACACATGTTATCTAAACTCAAGCAATTAATAATGCCTACGTGCAGCACAGGGCATATTCCTGACCTGCAAAGATCACAATACTGCACTTCTTGTCAGACTGCTGCCTTGCATACGTATTGGGCCTTCAGCAAGTGCAAGAAGGCCACTATCTATAACATACATGTCACAAAATCACAGAATGGTTAGGGTTGAAAGGGACCTTTAAGATATCTAGTTCCAACCCCTGCTACTTTGCAAGACACCTCCCTCTAGGCCAGGTTGTTCAAAGTCCCATCCAACCTGGCTTCCAATGCTTGCAGGGAGGGGGCATCCACAACCTCAGTGGGCAACCTGCTCCAGTGTCTCACCACACTCACAGTAAAGAATGTCTTCCTAATATCTAAACTAAATCTACCCTCTGCTAATTTACAGCCATTTCCCCTCATCCTGTCACTACCTGCCTTTATCAAAAGTTCTTTCCCAATTAGTTTTCATGCTTTTGTTGCCTCCCTTTTATGTTACAATTAAGAATATTAAAAACTTTTGCTACTTATACATAATAATTATATTACACTCCTTTTATGTAGCCCAATACAATTCCTCTTCACTCAGTGCAGCCCAGGCAAGCCAGAAAGGTTGGACATCCATAAATCCATAATGCTTTCTTTCAGCTTCAGAGACCCTTATGGAATAGCATTCACGTTCCCCCAGCAGTCCAACAGCCAACGAGCAAGCCGCAAAAACTAATTTAGGATGTCTGGCAGAGATCACAGACCGCTTTCGGGTACAGCCGAAGCACCTCCCTACTTCTCGAGCAGCCCGCAAGACTCTCCTGATTTTTCTAGAAGCAGCTCCGCACGCCAGAACTCTGCCGCAGCTCAGGCAGCTCCGGGCCCCGCTCACATCAAATCCCGTCCCCTACGGGCACCACAGATAACAGCCGGGCAACGCAGCTCGGGCACCGGGCCTCCGCAGGCCGCGCGCTGCAGGCAGGGAACAGCGAGCGGAGCGCAGGACCGCTCCCGGCGCCACTCTCACACCACCGCGGCTAAACGCCTGGCCCGGCGCCCCCAGGCAGCGCAGGCGGCGGAGAGCCGAAGGGGCGGAGCCGCGGAGAGGACGGCTGTCCCGACAGAGGTCACGGCGCCCCCGGCCCGGCCCGGTGCTCACCATGGCGACGCGCAGCGGGGTCCAGCGAGCGGCGTTGGCGGCGGCTGTGCCGGGGAATGGCGGCGACGCCAGGAGCCCGGCGCAGCGGCCCAAGCGGCGGAAGGCGCGGAGTGAGCGGTGCATGGTGACGGCGCAGGGAGAGACCGCCGGGGGCGGAGGAGAGAGCGGACCGCCCCGGATGGGCGTCAGGATGGAGGGCAGCCATCGGCACGCGGGCTGCTGCCGACCAATCGACTGCTGCGGGAGCCGAATGGCTGAGGAGCTCCGGTCGGAAAACGATGCTTCCTTCCAATTTAAAGGCAGCACCGGGTGGCTAGCCGCCGGCTACGCAGCGGCCAGTTTCGGATGTAATTCCTTTCTTCTTCCTGCTCAAGCAAGTACAGCAGTGCTCCACGCTTTGGTGGAGGCAGTGGTTCCTCTGAGAGAAAAGAGAGGACTGAGCCACAAGCTTTAGAAGTTTGAGAGACCATAGAATCACAAAGGTTGAAAAAGACCTCCACAATCACCTAATTCAACAACCAACCTATTCCCTTCAACCATATCCCTTTCAGTTCCATCTCTGCACATCCTTCCAGGGCCTGGCCCAGTCTTTCTGAGAAAGCCAACTTAAAATAGTGAGTACTAGTATTAATTTCTACTTACACTTCCAGCTGGGTATCTTGCTTCCTTCTGCAAAACAGAAATACGACAATTTCTACAAGTTTATAACTTTTGGTTTATTTCTAACATTAATTACTTCAGCACCATATTATTTTCCCATTAGCTGAAGTCAGCAATTTTAGACAGTTGCCTAAACTCAAAATACATTTCTTGTTTTTAAAATTCACAAATAACTGCCTTTATTTTGCATGTATAATTACATACCAGCATATTCAAAATAAATACAAATACTGGGACAAAACTTCTGATGACTTTTATTTAGACACATTTTGTGTTTTCCCTTTGAGTTGTGGAAGATGAGTGAAACAACACAAGCTGTTCTGCATTCCACTTTCATAGTTACGGAGTAAGCCAAGGAACAGAAGTTAGCAAAACCTTGAAGCAACATTTTTCCATTCACTGATAATTAAGAGCAGTATTTTGATTTGCTTCTGCTATGCATATGTACACCAGCCCTCTCTGGGAGAGGACTGCAAGTTGAATCTAAGTTACTAGTATGAGCGAATAGCAGGTGGAACAGTTGAACAGTCTTCTTCATTCAAAGTTCTGTCAATTACAGGTCTGTATTTCAAGGTAACCTAAAATAAAAAAGAATGGGGGAGGGGGGGAATAAAAATCAAGGTAAAGGAATCTCATATGTAACAAAGACAGGCTAGTTAACAGGAATGACCAAATAACATGTGCTACAATGACTTATGTTAAACCATTTCCCCATTATTCATTTAATTCCATGGAACGCAAACATATGGTAACCCTCAATAAACATTTAAGTTCTACCCATTTACCAACCAACTGAATCTATCAAAACCAAAAGCTTGATCAGAAATGGAAAATATATATATATATAGGAAAACTATATATAGATATATAGGACAACTATATATCTATATATATAGATATATAACTATATATCTAAAAAAGAATGCTATCAACAGCTGACCAACAGAACTGCTTCCTACTGACAAGGAGACTCTCAACCAGACTCAGCATACCTTCCCCGACTTGACATCCACAGATGAAAGGGTGTGCTTCCTCCAATGCTCTTCAAATGGCCTCTTCTGTTGGCCTTGGAGTGGCTTAGAATAGTCAAACTCATCGACCCGTAGCTAAGGAGGAAATGTTAAAACAGACAAGAAATGGGCATCTGCAAATCACTTTAGAATCACATTATTGGTTGCAACTGTAATGCACCTCCTAACAGCCAGCAAGCTTTATTTTAATACTGCTTGTGCCAAAACTCAAAGTCCTTGTTAAGCTTCGGTATTAAAATCACGTTCCTTACATAGAATTATTCTGTCTTCAACCCTGTTTGCACATTCACGACTTTATTATTACTGTAGTCCTGTTCCAGATCTCCCTAATCATTCCAGTGCACGCATTGGAACATCAAGGATAGCAAATGCAATCTTACATCCAGGCCACATAAAATACATACCTTATAGTCTTCTCTGGCATGAGCACCTCGGGATTCTTTGCGAGCCTCAGCACCATAAATGGTCTGTAGAGCACAAAGCATCAGGTTTTGCAGTTCGAGGGTCTCCACCAAATCAGTGTTCCACACAATACCTAGTAAAATTTGAAACACTGTGGAAGGTGTTCTACAAAACATTTTTTTCTTAATTTACTTCTCATCTAGTATTGAGACACAGTCAAACTAGTCCATGCTCTACAGAATGCAATCGCAGTGCTCCAATACTGAATTACTCAGTATTTCCAGGAAGGCTCTACACTGATGCCTACAACCTTAGAAAAAAAATCTAGAACTATTACAAAAAACATCCAGGTGCAATACAAGTGCATGTGCACTTCTGAGACCAAGTTATAATACCAATTCTCACCTGCTTTATGTACAACTTACAATTCAGTTCCCACACCTCATTTCAGTTGACAGGATGAGGCCAGAGGGTTATTTAAGTTTTTCTTTTTTTTTTTAAAGTGGTTGTCTAAAAGACCCAGACAACCCAGGGGCTCCCCCTCAGACTGAAAAAAGAAGCCAGCTTGCTAGATATACATGGTTCCCCTTAAGCACCTCCAATGCAGACCCCACGTTCTTTACATGAATATATTTCATTTTATTTCCTATGTTATATCACAACACTTCTTTTCTTGATGCTTGGTGAGAGTTGTCCAGGACAGACTGTTCTAATTTCAGTGTTTGAATACATGTCTAAAAAAGGACATAGCAGCTGGAAAGAAATACGCAGCTTGAGGAGAAAAAACCTACACCATTGTTGCACTTAATTCATCAAATCTTAAGAAATACTAAAAGACATGACAGTATCTGTGTGAGAGCTATTTGCTCAGATGAAGAAATAAAATTGAGCATTCAATCTAAAAATAAAGTGTCTCGCCACCTTTCTGCAACTCACTGGCCTTTTCAAAACACATTTATGGAGTTCCCCTTAGTATTTGAACAAATTCACATCACATTCCTTGAAGTAGTACGCAATTAGAGAGTGCCTAATAAGATCAATTACTTTGCTGATTTCCATGCTTAGCAATTAGCAGTCTAAAGAGTCAAAATAATAGAGTCAATTTTAAACAAAAGAAAACAGAAGGTCTGTGGAAGGAAAGCAAACAAAGCCACCTTTCTCAGTAACTCTTTGCTACCAAATTACCTCTGTCAAATGTCTTTAGATGAGCCAGATCACGATAAATTTGGCTAAGTATTTCACAGCCTTCTTGTAGTACAGGGCCAGTACGAAATACAGCGGCATGGCTTTGCATTGTCTGCAAGACAATAAAAAAAAAATAATCAATTTCATATACGTAAATAATATTCCACATAATTTAATTCTAGCAGAGCTTGATACAGAGCTTTTCTGACTTCAGGCACGTTTGCAGCCTGAAGAAAACATTTCTCTCTTTACCCCAAACAGAAGAAAATCCTCTCTATTATACTGTGGGATAACAGAATATTCACAAAGGAAAGAAACAGCTAAAAAAACAGAGATACAGCTTTATTGTACACCTACATCTTCTCATAACTCCTTTTAATTTCTGCAAGGCAAAAAAAAAAGTGGTCACTTAGGAATTTTTTTCTGCCTTACAGTTGACCAAGCTTACCTTTTGCATGTTAAGTCTCACTTCTGAAGTTCTTATGGTTCCATCAGCAAACCTTAATTTGTCGAGATTAGCAACTGATTCTTCACCAGCATTTGGTTTAATGGAGGGGACTGGTTCTCCTATTAAGAAAATTTCAGTGAGTTTAGTAGGTGAATGTTTCTGGCAGATTCATAAAGTCGTAATGACTGTAACTCAGATCTATTTTCTTTGTCTGAGACATAAGTTGACTGCAATTTTCCCAAATCTATAGTTTTCATAGCACTTTAAAAAACAGTTCCTAGTGGAATATTTTATTTTTATTTTCCTGTGATAGTTGGTATGGAAATTTCAGGTCAGGCTAAGTTCTGCTGCTAACTCCTTAAAAACTGCACTTGGTGCAAATTCTCCTGAACTGTGCAATAACTTTCA